CTCCTCCTTTAAACCTCAAGTTGACAATCTGGGATGTTATTGAGGGAATAAACAGTTTCTTTTTCCTGCTACATTCCCACCAGTGACAGATTACTGTGATAGCGTGTCTATTCGAGCCTCGGCCGAGTGTCTAAGATCTGTTGACAGACTTTATCACAGTCCTTCAAGATTTATCAGTCATGTCAGAACTCATCACTGTACGCCCCGCTCCCCGGCTGGGCGGGCGTCTCTTGCTGTCTGCAGACTAACTCACTGGCTGATTTCTGTATATCAGGCCTTTTTAAAGTTGCTGCCACCCTACAATATTCGTGTTTTTATGAACCCTGTTTGTGCCTTGGATATAATCTCTGATCCCAGAGCTCTGATGAGCTTCTATTTTGTAATGAGATTCTGCAAAATATGTTATTTGTCAAAACATAATTATTGAAATATGACTCAGACATGCAGGATAGACATTCAGTGATTCTTATAGCATATTTAGGTGTGTGTGTGTGTGTGTGTGTTCATCGTCCAAGTGCACTGAAAGCCTCCCCCTTGCTGTTCATGTTGCTATGACCAAACTTCTGCAGTGGAGGGAGTGATGTTTTCTAATGGTGCAGATAAAACACCAGCTGTTGTTTCTGATAGTGAAAACAGCAGAGAAGTGACTGTTTGGGACGTGCGCTGTACTTTCAGTCATAGTCAGAGGAAGCGCTTCTCGCCAGAGCTTCAAAGTAGCTCTCCTAGAGGCCGTCTCGTAGCTCGGATGTGAGCATCCCCTGTGGTGCCCGGCCCGTGGCGCCCAGGCCGCGGTGCTGGTCGGTCTGCAGGTGAACGTGGCAGTGTGGAACTGTACCTGCAAATGCTTCCATTTCTGTGCAAGGCATTGCTATCTATGTCTAAGTAGTGAAACACAGGGTTTCAACTGCTATCGTCTGTTTTGCACCTTTATTCACATGTGGCATAAAACGTGAATTCCCCATAATGAGTATCAGTGGCTTTGCTGCAGGAGGAAGCCCCTTTTTTCCCATTTGAATTGCTTGCAAACAGCTCAGGAGGCATCTGTTCACTAGGGGCCATCGTGTTGTTTTCTCTTGGTGCGCCCTTCAGCTTTTTCCCTTTCATTTATCCACTTGTGAAGACAAACGCTGTCACATCCAAGATGCCAGTCTCACTCTATAGAACTCCCAGTGATAGTGTCTGATAACAGAAGGAGGCTCAGCCACCCCCCGAGAATAGAAATGAGTAAATAAGAAAAATAAAACAGAGACTGGAGAGGAGAGCTATAGATGTTTGGGGAACAGTAAGTGTGCATGTTGCACGTCATCACTGAAAACCAGGTGTCTCAAATTTGGTCAACCTGATTAAAAATAAATAAATAAAAAGTGTTCCTTTAAGGTTTTAGACAATTCCTGGTCACAAAGCTGAAAACAGACCTGCTCTCATTAACGCCTGAAATGTTGGTGTTGTGTTCGTGTGTTCATCCAGTAAGATGGCTGTGGAACCAGATGCAGCCGTGGTGTGAGTGTGTTACCAGCTCCATGCGCTTGCGGCTGCTGTCCTGCTCTCTCTGGGTCAGCTCCTCCACTTCCAGCCTCATGTCCTGCAGCCGCTGCTGGTAGTAGCGGGCATTCTCTCTCTCCCGAGCTTCAGCCTGGGCGCTCTGCTCCAGCTCCTCTCCAAGACGAACCACGCTGTCCCTTAAACGCAACACCAACACCTGTGCGCATACACCAGAGTTGAGATTGTCACGTGCAGGGAGTAAAATATTACATGTGTGGAAACTGGATATGAACGCTCCGGTCTTACCTCAAACCTCTTGACTTGCCCTCTCTGAAACTCCAGCTTATTTTCCAGGTCACATACACGGGCCTCCTGTTTACTGACAATACTACGCCCCACAGTGGATGACTCCAGGAACTGCACCCTCAACGCACACTGCTGGAGCTGCATAACGGGTAGGTGGAGAGACGGAGTCAAAAATCATTCGGAGAGCCAAATTATGCACAAATCCAATCAGTGAGTGTGACCACGCTGCACCTGAAGCTGGCAGTTATACTGAGATCTGTAACAAGGAGGTTCAGTGATGCACAGATCCACTATAATCTCACATCCACTGGTTTCACCAGCATGTTTGGGTCATAAACCTCTCGGTGCTGGGTTCATTTCCTGATAGTCTAACAGACGTTACCTCTTCCTGGAGAGAATGTCGCTGTTTCTTCACCTCCTCTAGTTCAGCTTGTAGCTCTCTGATCTGAGAAATGTCACTGGAGGACTGGAGCAGACAGAGAGAGTGAGACAGATCCGATCCCCAGATGAACAACAGAGCTAGAAAGACAAAGTGTAGGACCAACCTGTGCAATGAGTGCTTTGTGCTTCTTCATCAGTTCATTGAGGTCTTCCTGGTCCTCCTCAAGCCTCTTCAGCAGGTCCACCTTCTCATGCTGCAGCAGGGCTAACTGCTCATCCACCTGGACACACGAGCTTGGAGAGGTCAGCGTGTTATATGCACAAATCCCTCACTTCCTGTTTGACTGAAACAGTGGTCCCTGCTGCCAAAATCCAGATGACAGACTGATGGCGATAAAAGTTTGAACAGGGTTACCTTCATTACTTCTGATTTATACTGGTGGCAGCCTTGGCTTTGGCCTGTCAGGCTCAGGTGGAGGCTTCAGTATCTTATGTTTTTCCTTTATTCTGTCTTAACTGTTTTTATCCTGGTTTTTAATGCTTTCTTAAATGTTGTTAATGTTTTCTCTGCCTGTGGAAATCACTTGGAAATGCCTCTGTGTTCAAAATGTCTTGTATAAATAAAGCTGCCTTGGCTTGTTTTAAAGGTCAATGCCACCGACGGCTGCTACATTATTCCAGCTCCACTTGGCTCCCATTCAAAAAGCATCAACTTCTCTCCAGAAATATTAAGTCAATAATGTTTTTCCAGGAGACATTATGGTCTCAACCCCTGAATCCATGCCCTCTGCTAAGTGTACTGGTGTTAAAGGTGGAAGTTATTCTTGCATTAATACACTCTGCAGGCTTAGAGAAGCTCTGATGGACAGGTGTGATGCCCCCTCCAGCTCCTGGACTCACCCTGAACCAGACTCTCAGAGATGCTGTTTCTTTAATAAACCTCAGTCTCCCAGACAGACAGTTCTGCTGTGGCTGTGGTGAAGGACTAATAAGGCCCTCAGAGATGCTGTCACACATTGTTTTGTTAAGTTTAATGATTATGATTCCTGGCCTGCTATAACATAATTGACCTAACATTAGCATTAAGTCAGTGCATTATGCAGTCCAGCAGCTAGCCTGCTAATCAATGACTGACTGTGGCTCTGGTGCACAGGTGGCATTTTTACTGTTTTATTTAGCTTTTAGTGTTTTATTTAACTGACATTCAAGTGAAACACAACTTTGTGTCTTAACATTTAGCAGGTAGTGCATCACACAGCATAGCATTTGTGGTTTGACACTGTAGTTAGCCGGAGGAAAGTATGTCTGCCATGTTCAGTAAGCTAGCATTCGATTTGAGGTGAAGACAACACCAAACAAAGCAGCTCCAATGCAAATCAGAGCCTGGAGGAAATCATTACATTTACATTTTGATTAACAGGTGACAATGTGCAGTTTCATTTTAAAAAGATGCTGCAAACGAACAGCAGCCAAGTCCAAGGCAGCAAGAGACGATGTCACAGAGTTTTGTGTTAGGCTTTGTATGTGCGTTTTCTTTTATTTTTGTTGTTCAAGATATAAATAAGTACATGCATGTAGTGTAGTTTTTTGTGCATTTGTGCACACTATCTTTACTTTTCTCACTTTTCTGCCCTTGAGGCGTCATCATCCTGTGTTATTTGCCAGGTTGCTCTAATAGTCTTTTTTCCCATCTGGCTGAAGAAGCCCAGACTTCATGTCTCCCCACAGCCTCTGAAGCCAAACCTACTACTCCCACCAGAAAGGCTTCGTGTTAGACTCTCCAAGTCACCGAACTCTATGAGAGGATCAACACCACCATTTGGTGTTTTGGTAGTAGTGGAGCCTGCTGTTAAACATGTTGCTCCAAAATCTCCCCCATCCCCACCATATTCATCCAAGTGTGGAGTGAGCTCTGAGTGCCTGTACTGGAACCATCTGCATTTGTTATGTCACTCCACTCATTTTATTCATGCTTCTCATTTGTCATCTGTCTTCAAATGCATCAGTTTCAGCACACTCACCATGCCTTTCTGCTTGCAGATATTTTCCAGTTCAATCTGAGTGTTCTCCAACTCCTGCGAGAGCGTCACCTGAATGCCCTCAGCCTTGAGTCGCCTCGCTTCACTATCCTCAAGCTAATTGGAAACACAGACAGTGCATGAATGTATCTGAAACTAAGCACAAAGTGGCACATCAGAGTCACAGCGTACTGTAGGTGAGTGTACCTGGCAGTGTAGCCGCTCTATCTGATCTTTGCTGCCATTGGGCAGCTTCTGTCCTGAGCTGTCGATGGTGGCAAGAAGCAGCTGGGCGTCAGCCAACAGGGCACGAGTCCTCTTCAGATCTCTCCTCAGCTTCCTCTCCACATCGAAGTCTCTGTGCCCCACCTACAAGACATGGATTAACCCTTCCTTAAAGGAGAGCAACCCTAAAGCCTCTTACGAGGACAAAAACCCTGCTGTTCACTCTAAATACTTTAATAAACTTGAGCTGTTTGAAAGCTTGGCCACAGACCAGGTCCTGGCCACTTATAAGGAGTCCAGTTACATCCTTACAGTGACAGAGTGCTAAATTGCTACCACCTCTTTGCTGCATAGGCTTGTTTTGTGGTGCCTGGCACATTCATCACCACCACTCCACAACAATAATGATCTGGGATGTGCCAAAGTTGGCCAGACACTCAGTCAGCCCCTGTGGGAATAAACTTCACTGCAACAAACAAAAAGAGACCGAGCAGTGTAAAGCGTGTCTGTGAGGGTGTTGTATACCTGGTCACACAGAGTTGCAATGAGTCCTTCCAAGTCGTGCTTCTCATGAATCACCATCTGTTTCTCCTCATACTCCTGCTCCAACTGCATCTCCAACTGCCTCAGCTGCACACATACATGAACGGCCAGTGTGAACCAGCTTTTATTGTCCCTGACAGGGAGTTTCCCCTGCAGCAGGGTGCATAATGATAAGCATAAAAAGATCATCATCCGTGGAAGAGCATAAAAATAAACAGCTCACAATAAGAGAAGCCTCCTAACTACGTTCTGTTGAATAACTCAGCAAAGGTTTGGAGGGAATAAATCTCAGTCCCTCACTAAGGAGATAATGAGCATGACCCTGACGCTTTAGATTGACATCTGTAATCCTTCCAAACACCTGAACCATATTCTGCATTTCCCAACAGGAAACTCTCGAGGGACTGAGATTCAGTCATGTAGCTGAGCTAGAACTATTAATAGCAAGCTAATTTGCTAGCATGTTTACTACAGTTGGCTATGTGAGCCATGTACAGAATATTTCTGCTGAACACTGTTTATTTTATTGTGTTTATTAAAAATGTGAAAATGGACCCTTTTCAGTTGGAACCGATTACTGGAAATGATGTTTGTTGTACTGGCCTGAGGCCTAGGCCTTGCTCTACAGTCCAACACATCTTCAGTCAGACAGATGCACAAATTAAACAAACAAACAATCTGAGGGACACTTCACTAATACGACTGTAACAAAAAATGAGACCTTATCTTAAATATTAGGGTTCTTTAAATCATTTGCTGTTTGCCAGCTTCTCAAAATGTGAGGAGTTGGTGTTTTCCTGTTTTATATTATTGTAAGTTGCTGCAAGAGCGAGGCAGAGGGCTTTATATAACATTTCTAAAGGTGGCTCCACTCCTGCATCCACCTGCAGGCTCTGATGCTGCACTGGGGAAAGTTAACATCATCACTGCCAGGCCTCTCTTACGCTCAGTTTCCTAAATATCTACTCGGTATACATTCACACACCACAGTAATCCTGTCATGTGTGTTGGCTCACTGAAATATACTCGGTGCCACAGAAGCTGATCTGATGGTGACATGACGGGCTGGCTGAGACAACCCGTGGAAATGCTGTGCCTGTGCACGGAGGTAAATGCAGAGAGGTGATGCAAGTCTCATTACATAACGTTTTGAAATAGGAAAACACACACGTGGGTGTTTCACAAAAGAGAATCAGGTTTTCTTCTTCCAGCCAGAGAAGGACATTCAAAAAGAGGTATCTGTAAACAAACAACCCAGAAAGTCCAGCGTTGGCGGAGGCTGATTGATTACTCAACAAAAGTGTCTATTATACTGTCACGACTAAATCTTCATTTAGAATCAGGGCAGCACCGTTTGTACAAACACCAGCACCAGTGAAATTAACATAACTGTCTACATCTTGTGTTTGATGACAACAATCATCAGGCTTCTCCAGAGGAATCACCTCTGGGACCAAAATCAATCTAAGTAAAGTTATTATTTATCGAGATGATGAATTTTGTTGTAATAAGCTTCAAGACGAATGCGAGTCAGGACACACGAGGTTCCCAGTTCAGGCGGTTTACTTTACGACCTGGGGTGAACACTGTTAACATAACATAACATAAATCCCCGTCATCCAAACCCTACGCTCATCTTGTGTTTCATACCTAATATGGCAACTCTAAATGTACGTGGCATCGTACAGAGTGGAGACTTCGTGGGCCCTTCAGTGCCGTGCAATGCAAACTGATCTACAAGTCAATGATTCATATTCTCAACAGGTCTCAACCTTTTGTAAGCAGAACTTGCAGCATGTCTGTGGCAAAACACTACGCTAGCTGGGGACACAAGCAAGGTTAATACTGTGAACCCACGTAAAATAAACCTAAAAAATTAGAAGGAGCCAATTAAAATAAGTTGAAGATTAAACTTAATCCAACATTTATTAATTTTAAAACGCTGCACATCTTTTCTCCCTCGTGTCTCTGAAAATGTTGCAGGTCGTTTCCAATTAGGAATCATTTAGATATTTCAACCACGTATTAAAAACTTCAGCATTTAATTTCCCACATGAAAAGATCTTGGAACTTAACTGATGACACAACAGTTGCAGAATCAAAACTAGAACAGCTCTGAGTCTGTTTTGGGTCACATCCTGCACCATCATGACGGTCACCAGCTGGTGCCAAATGAATGCTTGGATGCTTGTATACCCCATGTTCACATACCCCAATCAGCTCCCAGAACATCCTTGACAAAACTGATGGAAGAAGTAACTCTTCAGTCTTTGGACCACAGACTTTAAACAGTGACCTGTGAGTGGCCTTCAGCTATGAATGGTACTGTGATTACTGTGCTTGTGAACTGTGCTTGACCCACCCGTCTTTGAGAGGACTTGTGGACATCCTCTAACTCCTCTTCTTTATCCTCCAACTCCTTCTGATGCATCTGCTTTGTCCTCTCCATTTCCATCTCAAACCGCATGTGGACCTATGAGAGGACAGAGGAGTGAGGGGAGGCGGGGAGCGCTGAGTCAACGTCGCCGAACAAGCCGCTGTGCGCTGTACACACCTGCTCCTGCTGTTGTATTTTGGCCGTGAGCTTGGTGATTTCCTCCGCTCTCTCATTGGCCTGGCTCTCCAGGAGACGAAGCTGTTTCTTGAGGTCCGGTAGTGAGTCGGAGGCGAGGTGCACGGGCAGGCTGAGGTCTCGGATCTGAGCGCACAGCTCCTCCTTCTGCTTCTGCAGACGGCCCACCTCTGACTGGCTCTCCTGCACACACCCACACAGGCACAGCACAGTTTACACCACTGGTATCTGGTCACTGCAGTGTCTCTGGAGCCTGTGCACATTAAACAGCTCTGTCTTGCTCAGGTATGGGAGAAGAAACTAAAGCACACAACATGCAGGAGTGCAAAGAACACAAACAGCAAAGTTTCTTGTGGGAAACAGAGGAAACAGTCTCATCTTACACTAAACTCCTGTTATAAAGTTATAAAGACAATCTTTTAAATCCTGCATTTAAGGAACAGCAGTTAGTTTTATTGTACTTAATGCAAAACTCTCACAGCCCCTAAATTGTAATTGAACATTTTAAAATTATTGGTAAGCTAAGAGGTCACTTTTAGCCTTCTTTAGCTCACAGTTTTGGATTTACACCACGTTTACTGTTGCTGGTTTATATCAGTGCTAATGTAACGACAAACTAACACAAAAAATGTATTTTTTAGGATGAAAATGAGAATAAACTAAATAAAAGCAGCATTTAATTTTAAGAATTATGACAAAATGTTTGACATTTTTCATCAACAAATTAAAAATAGATGATAATATGAAAAAAAGTTGATCTAGCTTCTTACATCTGTTGCCTAACAACAGGTTGACAGACTAAACTCATTTGCAATCCAGTGAGAATTAGACAAGAAGGCACTAAAACAGTTGAGGTAAACGAGGAAAACGCAGCATCAGCCGACGTTCATGAGCAGGTCAGGTCAGTGAACAGGAAGCTGTGGAGTCGGTCAGCTCCAGGTGAACTTGAGCGGTCGACCACGTGAACCTGCCTCCAGATGTCGGCTGAACTAATCTCACTGTGTTATAGTTGTTATTGGTTTAGCTTTTCCTCTCAGGCTGAACTCGACGAGCAGCTTCTGCACATCACATGGACACTGTGCGTAAACAAATAAACAACGTTTCCACAAACCTCACAACAAACAGGAAGAGCACCTGTAACCATGGAAACTCACAACACTTCAAAATGTTTTGAAGAAAAAAATGTCAAAAATGACAAAAACTAGGCTAAAATTTATTTAGTTTCCATTGACTGAAGCTAACAAAAGACTAAAATTTGACCAAAACTAATATAGATTTTGTCAAAACATTCAAGCTGAATCAAATTCAGGTGCCAAAATTCACACAGGGTCATTTCCACAGCTCTCACCAGCCTGCGCCTGCAGTGTGGCATCACACAAACCTTTGAGCCATGTGCTGCCGAGCACTCTGGCAGCCTTATGTCAAATCCACACATCAAACGTCTCTGACTCATCAATCTGAAGTGCATCATCACTGTGTGACACCTGTTCATGAATCAGATGCAACTGAAACTCATTTGTTCTGTCCAGGTTAACGTGATGAACAGTGGCCAAAGCACATGATCCTGTCACAGGTGTGTTAATGTAGGCTGCTTCGTCCAGGATGGAGCTGAGAGCACATTGTGTCAATATGTCATTAGCACCAGTGCGCTGCAGGACGGCATGAAGTACTTGTTAGTTTCTACTCATGTGTCGTTAAAAAACAAATCTACCGTCTGGCCCTCTGGGAGCTGACTCATGTCATAGGCCTAGCTCCTTCTCAGCGGTTTCCTGCATTTTGTGCAGACATACCTATAAATATGTAGTGTACAGTGTACACATAAATACACACAAACCTGCAGGTTGCGGCGCAGAGCGTATATCTCAGCCCCCAGAGCAGTGCTTTCCTGAATAGCTTTGTCCTTTTGCTCTCTCTCATTGTCAGCTTCCTCCAGAGCCTGAGTCAGTTCACTGTCAAACCTGAACAAACAAAAACACACAGAGAAACAGAAACAGATGCTTCAGGTAAAATACTGCAGAATGATATCACTCAGCTGGGCAAAAGTGAACGTCAGCACTCAGAAGAGCCGTCCTGCCTGTCCTGTAGAGGGCTGTGGGGGAGCTGGAGCCAACCCAGCTGATACTGGGTTAACTGGTGACTCTAAATTGCCTGTAAGTGTGAGTGTGAGCAGATGTCTGTGTGTGACAGTGAAAATAAACTGACTAAAACCACCAACCAGGAGATGACCTTCAGACTGAAGTATGGTCTGAACTCGAGCCTTTCCTCCTTTAATGACTGGTAGTCAAACCAATTATAGAACCTACCTTTTTTAAAAAGGTTTTATCCTGTTGCTTGTAAAGCAACAGGATAAAACAAATAAATTCTCACAAAGCAAGAAAAAAGAACCTGGACTGGCCATTAAAGCAGTAGAGAGTGATTCCCTCATCACTGCAGAATAAGCCAACTAACAGCCGATGAGCCTCAGCCCAGTGCTCCCTCTCTATTTTAGCTCCGTGTTCGGTCTCCACCACCTCCTGAGGGAAACCTCTGGCTCTGGAGCTGCTAAACGCTCCACTGTGCTCCTACAGCAGCACTGTCACAGTGTTGTCATGGGCTGATACACTGTTACAATAAGAGATTCAGGTTAAAGGTCATACTGAAAGCACACTGTGAGAGTGATAAACATGACGGGGCAGTGAGAAGACAGGACAGTTTCAGAGCTGCTCAGAGGAACACGTGGACACAGACCTTCTCTGTTTGCGCTCCAGCTCATGTATGCGGCTCTGCAGACTGTCAGTGAGGACTCGGGCATCCTGAAGGTCAGAGGTTACACGGCGACAGTGACGTTTCAGTTCTGTCACACTCCTCCTGGACTGCTCCAGCTGGGCCTGCAGCGTCGCCACCTGCACACACACACACACACACACACACACACACACACACATGCAGTGTAGCTGCTGTCGGACATTTAATCTCCCATTAAGTGCGTCGTCATGCCCTGGCTCACCTTGGTATCGAGCTGCTGTCGGGTCTGTCTCTCCGTCTCCAGCTTTTCCTCTGTCTGCTTCAGTCGTCTGCGGACAAACTCCACCTCGGTCTGGCAGCACTCCAGCTGCATGGCCAGCTCACTTTCTGTGTGGGCAGAGAGATGTGACTTTGTCTGGGGTGACCGCCAGGGTCGCTTTACATCCACTGCCATTGTTAGCTTGAAACCAGTTGTCTCCAGACGAGTGCTGAAGATGATTCAGGTCTGTGTGGCACCTAAACCACACAGTAATGATGCTGGCTGCCTGGTTTGGGCAAAAGCTTGTTAGCGTTAAAGCCACTGTGGGTGTGTCACTGCATGCTTGTTACCAAGCATTTTGAAATGAAGCAAACCTCCATTTTCTCTAAAAATTCATGGCAATTAGCAAGACAGCACTTCGTTTGTGTTTGTGTGTGTAATGTTAGAGGAAAAGAAGGAATCCCAGGATCTGCCATAATGAGTGTCCTGCTACAGACATTAATCATTAGCTGGTAAAGACAAAACTGGAGCACCACCACATCGTGTTCTTTGTCAGACTTTTCAACTTATTAGGGCGTATATATTTGCAAATGTACTTTTTTTTATTGCCTTTCAACCCCTCGGCTTTCTAAGAAAAGAAACAACATATCCAGTAGAACATAAACCAGGGTGGGCAGCTCGTTATACATGACATTATGCAGAATAAACTGTACAGACAAATTTAAACTAAGTAGGATAAAAAGTCCAGGGACACTTTTGTGCTTTATGCAGTTTGAGCCTGTGCAGCTGAACAATCACTGAAAAGCAAAAATACTCAACTCAGTTTATCGAAAAAGCCATAAAATAAAACAGCAAACACATTCCT